AGGGAATGTGATTTTAAGCAGATAAGTTAGCAAGAGCAGTTGGATTTATTTTTTTTTTTAATGGACTCAGTTTTTTTAGAACTGTAATTTTTGAGGGAAGTAGCCAAAATACAGCTCCTGGGTTTATTTCTGAAAAAAAGTCCCTAAACCCAGCCCTATGAATGTTCCTAAAATGGAAGTAGTTTGTTCTTGCTGCTTGGGGGCTGGTGTAAAGGGAGCCTGAAGTGAAGCAATGGTGCTGGGATAGGGTGCTTGGTCCTTCTCCGCTCAGTACCGGCCTGTAAAAATCTCCAGCCAAATCAAAGGCTCTTGCGGGGAAGAGGAGAAAGTTTCTAAGACTGGACAAGCTTCAACTGAGGCAAGAAAGTCCGATGTTGGGAGAAACCTCTGGACTCCAAGAAGTCTTGGAGTAGGTCTGCAGATTGCCTGGGGCACTCTCGGAGTGTCCAGCTTTTGGGGAGGGGGTCGCTGGGACCTGCAGTTGGCTCTCAGAAATGGGGAAGGTATCGCTCATCCCGAGGCAGGGATTTATTAGGCTCCTCAGATCCCTGCTAACCACCACATTTACTTTTTCAGTGATACGTTTCAGATATTCCTTGGCTTTCTTGGGCTTCAGTGAATAAAGCGAAATATTTAATGAAACTCAAGTCTGAGCAGTCAATGCTCTGTACCCCTGGCAAAGGGCAGCCACGGGCAGGACGTTGCTACTCCTCGGGCTCTGCTGCCGGCGGCATGGGAAGCATTTCTTGGTGAGAAAAGAGGTGAAAACGGTCTCGGCTGCCCCGTGCCTCCGCTGCGATGTGGTCGCTCTCAGGACAGCAGGCCTGGCTTGGCCCTGGCTCACAGCATAATTCACCTCCCCTCCCGCTTTTCCCTGTTTGGAGGGAAATACCAGCTGGTTTGGCAGTGCCGTGGCCGTCACCAGTCCGGGAGTGTGAGCCCCCGGCACGGCTCCGGTTCTCCCCGCTCCTCTGGCCGCTTCCCCGGGGGCAACTGGTGGAGTGTGTCCAGCTCTGATTCCCACCCACGCCAGCTCCCCGTGGGCTCGCCTGGCTCGTTCCTCCCCGGCTCCGCCTCGCCTTG